TTTATGTGTTAGAAACTCAGTTACATGTGTGTTATCAGATTCAGTAAGAAAGTCTATATACTCTATATTATTCAAAATTTATCGGTTTAGCCTTAGTTAGATTTTAGCAAACCTCCGGGTTAACAAGAATAATGTCTGCTGATCAGTTTGACTACAGTATTCTTTCGAGGTGTCAGTGGTGCCTCTTAGTTATCTAAATCAGATTCAAAATATAGATTATTTGATCCACTAGGCGGTCATGACATTCTAGTTATAGCTCTGACCAGCCCCAAGAACCCAGTTAAGTTTTTAGTTGGTTCTCTAGACGGCTATGACGCTCCTTGTTGAGAAGCTCTACCAGTCTTGGAACACCAGTTTCAAAATACGGTCCTATAATATGCTTAGGGAACTCTCAGACAGTATCCCTGAGTCAGTTATAGTCTTGGGCCCCAGTATTGAGCTATCCGCTTGCAAGTAGTAGTCATGGTAGGAATTCCAATGGGAGTAGGACTTAGCACCGAAAGGGTCGGGATTCCAACGCACCCAGGTTCTAGAACTACGTTGCCACCGTAGGTTATATTTATTGGCCTCATGGACCTAGACAGTGATCTCACTGTCTATGCCTTTATACCCTGGCAAGGTATATTAGGTCCTACTGGTGGGGTGTATACATCGGACTCCACGTCTAGCTCACGTGGTTATATGTCGGTTATAGCCTCTCCCAATAGTCAATCCAGTATAGTTTCAAAATAAGCAGCTCAGTTCAGTTTCAACTCTATCAGCTTAGCTCAGATTAGTATAGTATCTCGGACTCAGAACTTTCAGACTTAGGGCATGTTTTTGTCCGCCAGACATGGTCATCTTGACCATCACAGTTTACTTCAGATTCTTCAGTTCAGTTTATCAGTTGGTCATTGCATGTCATTTTAGTTTAGTCATCTATATATTTATCATTATGCTTCTCTCACTTACCCAGTACATTCAAAGTACTGACGCATATTTTTATGTTGTATCGTTTCATGATATATCCGCAGGTACTCAGACCCAGCGCCGTTAGCCGATTTAGTCCGGATCTCTGTATCAGCAGCAGAAGTGTGAGTTCTCATATTTCAAGGGCGTTATTTCCTTCATTTTAGTTTTATCTACTATTTTCAGTTAGACTTATACTTAGCTAGGGGCTTGTCCCAGCAACTCCTCAGTTAGATGGCTTTCAGACACAGACTTGATTTCAGATTCTCATATATTTTAAATCTCTATGTTCAGTTTTTAATTTTCATAAATGCTATTATGTATTATTTCAAAGCTTCCGCTATGTAGTTATGGTAGACCAAGGGTTGACTTGGGGTTACTTGTGACTCCAAGTACCGTGTTCCATCCAGGGTGTAGACTCGAGGCGTGACAAAACTTGTGCTCCTATGTTTGACGAGAATGAATCCATGGCAAGAGAGGGAAAGAGAAATACATGTGGGCACATGGAAGCCATGCTCCAAGCCTTTTTGGAGCAGGAGTCTAATGCAGAAAAGAATGACAACCCCTCTATGCCTAGAATCATCAACTCCTCAAGAAGAAAGCTGTGAAAGTCTAAAAGAAAAAGTGGAGGAGATATTGAGGAGCATAACAATAAGAAGTGAACAATGGGGCATATCTCAACTTGACTCTTGGGAGGAAGCTCAAAATGATGACGAAGGAGGAGTCAAGGTGAGTGTTGAAGAAGTCACAGAGGTGTGCCAATCAACCAACATTGTAAAAATGCAATATACCAAGGTTGAAGAAGTGACACTAGAGTCTCCTAATGACATCCAACAAATCACACTCAAGGACTCTAGTGCACTTGAAAAAGAGGAGGTCAAGTAAGAAGCATGCTTGAAAGGGGAGCGACTTAGACTGCCCTCTTATCATTTTTCAACATTGAACTTGGTTGAAAAAATGGAGACTGAGGAGACCAAGTCAATGGAGGAAGATGAGAAGGAAGATCAAGGTGGCTTTATCTTAGAGTATGCAATGCCAACAAGGCCAAAGCACCTCCCTCCTTTAAGGGAGAAGAAACACAAGATACAACATCCTTTGCTTGGTCCCTTGATTCTTACATCACCACCCCTCATGCAGAGAAGAAGAACGGATAAGAAGCTAGGGGTGCGATTCAAATGCTCAAAGTGGAGAGAAAAGTGGTAAAGTTGAAGTCATCGAGCCACGATGTGAACTAAGGCGCTTCTTGGGAGGCAACCCAAGTGCTTTTACTTTTTACTTTTATTTTGTTTTACTTTTTGTGTTGTCTTTGATTCTATAGTGTTTGAACAGGTGTGGAACATGGAAAACAGTGAGAGAAGAAAAAGAAAAAGGAGAGCATGGAAAATGCATATAAAACGGATGCCTCCACTGTATCAGGGAATTCTCTCACCCATTCATTCCTCATTTTGTTCTACCTTAGGTATCGAGGACAATGCATTGATTTTGTTAGAGGTGAAGTCTGAGTAGCCCACTTGTTAAGTGATGTGCGATATGGCCCTATAATAAATTGGTTGACGTCATTCTTAAGGGCAAATCATCATTACTTGCGAGTTTGTATCGCCTTTTTAGATAGTAGTATTTAAAAAACCTCTAAGGGTTTTCTTTATACTACGGTTCTTTCCCAAGGAATGATTTCTTTGTCTTCTCTTTTTGTTGTCGAAACGGGTTGGCACTTCCCAATGATAGATTGAGAGGCGACTTTCTTAAGGGAAAATTTCAAGTTTAGAGTCTTGTTGAGTCCTTGTGCACTTGTTTGAAGAGGTACCACCAATATTTCTTTCTTGGCATTGTGCATGAGTTTTGAAAAGAAAATAGGGGTATCTAAATCTGGAAATGAGCACTCTCTTATCATGAATTATATATTCTTTTATTGGCTTGTTGATTCGTAACTAGCTCGTTAAAAGTCATCCTCTTAATGTGACAAAGAAAATATGTAAACTCCTTGGATTGTGATGCCTTGTGTAGTGAGGTTTTTTTTTTCTTAATTCTTGTGTATGCATGATTGTCTATAACTCTCCCTAAGTGTGATTTAAGGCGAAATAATAGATGTGGCTGCACTTAGAACATGATCTTGGGCCATCTTTTGTTAGTCACTTCACCCAAATGACCTCCTTGAACATTAATCTTTGATAGCCAATGTTTGAGCCTTGGACCCTTTCTTTGGAAACCACATTACAAGCCTAACAATCATTTTTAATCCTTCTCTTTGGCACCCATCCTCCCGAATTACTAGTGAAAAAAAATGGGGCTTAAAGCCATGAAATGGGGAGCAATAAGTAAATGAATGTGAGATGAGGCAAAAGCCTAAGTTTGGGGATTTGCAAGAGAAGGGGGAAAAGTGAGATCTTCAATGTGAGGTAGCACCAAAATCATGATAAAATGAATGAATCGATGGGTTGAAAGACCTCAAATCTCTTTCGCTTTACTTTGCTCAGTTTCATACTTTGGGTTGGAGCACCTACCCCACAGGCACGATCAGGTCTAAATTTAGTGTGACCAGCTACAGCCACATCGGCGAGGGAAAGGAAAGGTCGCGATCCTATCTGTATGGACCAAGACCTTGTCATGAACCGGATTTGAACTGACACTTTCCAGATGCACGGTTTGGATTTGAACCTTTCTAATCATGACTTGAAAAAAGAAAGAAGAGAAAAAACTGGGAGTTAGTGCCTTCTTGCTTACCAAGAGATCCTGGCTTTCCATTCCTCTCCTTTCCGATCTAGTCTGCACGGCATGATATAATATAATATAGCGAATAAATCCATTCCACTCGTCTAATATTCAATCCAATCTTCAAAATCAATAAAAAAGCTATCATCATTAAGGAAATAGCTTTGGTTAGAAAAGCAAATCCCAAAATGGCTAAGCGGCAATCCTTACTGTGGAAGAAGACCTTGTAATTCTTCTCCTTCAATGCCAGTGGATAAGTACACTAGGGCTGGAATGCTCTTTTATCATGTATGTGGATTACTTGGTCGATATCTGATTGCACTAGTCTCATAGCCATCTCTTTAGCGTCCCTCCATTCCTTTTTGTTAACACAAGAAATCTAACTCATTCTAAGGTAGAGCTCTTAGAGTCCAACTTAAAGTTAAAGGTAGTTTTTTAGTTAAAGCAAGGAGAGAAGAAACTGAGGGAAAAATCTATGTTCTTACACGGGATGGGAATAAAGGCTACTAAGATCAGAACTCACGACCTAGGTACCAAGTAACCTTAGAATGGGGATGCCAATCTTATACAGAAAATACTGTTATATAAAGTAACCTTGTAGGGGCCTGCGTATAGCATTCTAAGATCTCAATACGAGAAAGAAATCAAACCTATAACCTCACTGCAATGGCTTGTAGACTTGCTTTGTTGTGGAAAGCTAAAGTGAAAACCTATTAGAGTTGTGGGCCTCACCCGTCTACTACTCGACCTTAAGTAACAACATTTAGGAGGATCCATCCAATAGTGGGCTTTCGGGATCAAAGAATCTTAAGAATTTCCTCTCTTACTTTCATATTTGGTTGATGAATTAAGACTGCCCCTCCATCTAAATGAAAGCCCAAGGGAATATGAAAGTTATCCACCGGATCTTGGAAACAAGGCACACAGGCCCCTGAGCTGATCTCCTTTCGCTTCGACCCATGAATCTTTCTATCCATTAATATTTATCTTAACCAAAAGGAATTCTCTTTTTCTAGTCTTGTTTCATACTAATACAAGAAGAATGCTACAAGAGGTTACTAATCATGCTACTCCTTCTATCTTCCCTCACCTCCATCTTCAACTATAAAGCGGTTTAAGGAGTGCCCTTCGCACCTTACTTTTTCTTTTAGCCTTTGTGCCCCATCCCCCAATGGTGAATTCACTCCCGCCCTTAAGAGTTATTTCTTCAAGTAAATTTTCCTTGCTAATGCTAGCTTGCCCTCTATTATTACTGTACAGAGCGGGGAAGAAGCACTACTGAAGTTCATTACTGTGTTGGATTTCTGATCGTAGATGGAGACTTCAACCTGTGCGGGGGTAGGGGGGATGTAGCCAAGTGGATCAAGGCAGTGGATTGTGAATCCACCACGCGGGGGTTCAATCCTCCTCGTTCGCCCATCAATAAATGGACTGTTTATTTCGGAGACACAAAACAAACCTAGAAAGCATTTTTTCTGCAAGTTATCCCGAGGCTTTCAAATTCATCCAAGCAATTGGTATCTGATTGAAAGATAGAAAGCATATATTCGTGTCGCCTACTTGATGAAAGCGAAAATGGAATGGCCGATCATGAATTCTATGATGTTTTTAAGACCTCACTAATCAGCCAACCACTTTTTAGTTCATAATGAATGAACCCCCGGACGAAGAAAAGATATCCCCTCCCTTTTACTAAACCATAGGGAGCCCCGAATAGTTTACTGGACAAATTGAGTTGTCGTGAAGATACCTTTCAACATTGAAAATTCTCTTCATCACGAGACTGATTGGATCTACCGTAGACACCTGAGAGATTTTCGCAAGGCAGGATAAAATAAAAGACTAAGAGGCACTGCAAGCGAGCAAAGAGTTATCATCAAAAGAGAAAGAATAGCAAAAAGGTGCTATCACTTGCATATATAAGGCTAAATGTGAAATTCACCGGCGTTATAAGGGTGGCTTGTGTTACACAAATGATGAAGATTATGAACAAGGAGAAATAAGGTGGAGTGATCTCAATAAGATGATGGGATAGTACAAGTGTGTGTAAAGGTATTAAGGAGGCTTTAGTCACCAAAAACTAAACAAATATCCTACCCTTACCCCTAGCCTTCATTATGACCCACAACTCCTAATTAATTTTGAGTGTAGCAACACTACATTAGTGGTGATATACATGAAGGACAAGCCTATGGGTCAATTTTTATGCACTTGAATTTCTTTGTGAGAGTGAGCACATTTGTCTTATCTTATGATCCCATTGTGTGAAATACTAAAAGAAAAAGGTGTGTGGGATTCTCTCTTCTTGTGAGGGGCATCATTTCCTTGGAGTACATGCTTAAAATTATTTTCAAAGAGAGGTATGATTAAGGCAAGCAGGTAGTGAACTTTAAGGCAAGCTTTGAATGTGAATTATCAATGACTTAAGATACTCTTTGAACTTATTTTGAGGAACTATGCACCTTGTTTGAATGAAATGAATGCATGCAAGATATGTTTAATGATTGTTGTTACCTATTGAAGCTTGTGCAACATGGTTTGAGTATTGAGTTGGTGTATAATGTTTGGGGTTGTCTTGACATTGATGATTTGGTGTACAACTACCATAGTGCCCTAAGCTTTAGCAATGTCCTCTTCTGCAAGAATATCTTGATTGGCCCTTGATGCAAAAACTTATGTATAGCATGTTGTTCATTTGCTCAACTGTAAAGAATTTCATTACTTAAGGACAAGAAATGGTTCAAGTTTTGGGGTTTGATGAGTTGAAAATTTACCAACTGATTAGGCTCCTAATCATGAGTTTTTGCTTAGTTTTCTAGTCATTTATGTGTATTTTATGCCATTTCTCTTGAATTCATTGTAGGTACCTCATGTGAGTAAAGAAAGCATGAAATCGAGCAAAACACATGGAATTTGAGAAGAAATTTGATGAGTTAACATATGAGGGAGAGGAGCCAAATATAATGGAAGATTTGAGCTCAAAATGAGGTGTAAGGACGTGCTTTGAATCGGCTAAATGTGGATCTGGAAGGGCGAGACGCGGGCGAAATGCCAAAGCTACTGCCCAGACCGGATAAACAACCGTCCCTTTGTGGAATGGCACCGGATAAATGCCCCTGAACCGCCGGTTTCCCCCACCCCCTTCCAGGCCACTGTTTTCAACAGGCCACAGTTTGGCTCTCCACGAATTTCCACCGGCGAAAAGTCGGTTCCTCGCCGGAGAGGCCGTCTAATGAAGGGTAAAAGGGTCCAAAAAGGTCTCAAAAATATCCAGAAGCTCCAATGACATTTGGGAAATGTTTTACACAAGAAAGTACAAATATATAACCTCCATTGTACACCAACCAAGAGAAAAGGAATTCATTCATTAATCAATTCAATCATATAAAATTCATCTTCTTCATAGAATTTTTAGTAGAATCTTTTCTCCATAGATTTGTAGAGTTAGGCAGTACTTTTCTTCTTCTTTTACTTTAAACCATTTTGGGTAATTCCATCATCGTTGTAAGAGCTTGTAAAGAAAATTTGTGAAGCTAATGCAATGAATGAAAGGAGAATCCTCTTGGTATCTTCTCTCTATCTTTAAATATGCTTTATTAATTTTCTAGTTAGAAGTATATTCATGGCGGGTTTGTTAATTTGATTAGGGTTTTGATAAATTGCTCTTAGATTCTTATTGAATTATATATGGGTATTGCTAGATTCATCGTTATATTATTCAATTAAGTGTAAATCTATTAGATTCTCTTCAATATATTAATGAAGATCCATTGATTATGATAGGGGTCTATTAATTCTTGCTTGATTATTTCTTGAGAGAGAAATAATTAAGTATTGGAAGATTGTGAAATTAGGCTAGAAATAGCTAAAATTGCTTTCTCATTCCTTATTGGCAACTAATAGCTAGGAATAGTGCAGTTGCTAATCCAAATCAAATCGGGTTGAGCAAAGTTGTGGCTAGAGTTTTGATAAAACTCTAGCAAGAGGTACTCAATAGGCTGAGAAGCTGAGATTACCCACTTCCCGAGATTATTTACACTTTTTAAACTTGTGAGAGAATCTAAGGCTACTCAATTCCCTATTTAATTGTGATCCCATCTATAGAATGTTTGTAGCCTCTCACTTGTGATTGCTTCAATTGGAATTTCCCCTAATTAGTCTTAGTTTAGAATTAGATAGTTATTTTCTCTTTTAATTTCCCCTCAATTTTACTCTTCAAATGTTGAACAATTATACGCTCTAGTTTGAATTAATTTATAACTCTTGAATTATCGACTCAATTCTTATGGGATTCAACCCCGACATCTGTCAGGATATTTATTTTGATACAACGACCGTTTACACTCTTTCGTAAAATAGGAGTGTATTTTGGACGTTATCATTCAGCAGTAAAATCTACAAAATGGCCTCAGAATGACTCGTCTAATGATTCGTTGGTCCCTCTAACGGGTCATGGAAGCAGTTGTGGTGATATTTCACATTGGGCTACTAGGAAGGAACTAGTCATGTAACGACTCATTGGTGTCCCTGATGGGTCTTTGTAAGTGGTCATGGGTTGGAGCCCAGGGTTTTTAAGTGGTGGCAATGGATGGTAGTAACGGGTCGTTGGAGCTAGTAACGACCTGTGGTGTCAATCGTGGGAAGGCTCTTAAGGCTTGGACCAGTGGGGGTGACGAAAGGATATGACGAGTCATTAGGTGTGGTAACAACTCGTCACGTCAGTCATTAGATAGGAGGAGCTGAAGCAGTGAGGTAGTTCTAGTGTACCTAACGAGTGGGTTCAATGATTCATTAGAGCAGTTAACGACTCATTACGTTGGTCGTGGGATGAAGGATATGAAACTGCGCAAGCAGACCAGTGCACCTAACGGAAGGTCACCATGAGTCATGGTGAGGACCAATGACTCGTGGTGAGGGTCGTGGTCCCAGGTCGATGAATTTTTCATGTTTTTCCCAAGGGTAATTTGGTAAAAATTCTATGCTCCCAGTTCTTAAGTAACGTCATTTTAAGTATTTTTAAGGGTTTTTCTAAGCCTAATCTCTCATTCTTTAAAAAAAACACTCTCTCAAACCCTTCCTCCTCTTCTCTCAAGATTCAAGGATTTCATCAAGGTGTTCATCAAAGCTTCAAGGGAAATTTCGAGCAGGATTTCTTCTACCAGGTATGCGGGTCTTTCAACAAGGATAATCTTCCATCCTTGTGCCCTAAAATGGTTTTATAAAAACCCAATTTCGACTAATCTAGAAAAACATGATCTAGGGTTTGTGTGATGGGTAATTTCTTTTACATTTTCTTGAATGCTAAAATCTAATGTGATTATGAATTAATTTTGGATATAGATTAATGGGTTGTCTTGAATTGTGGGTTAGATGATGAAAATACATGAGTATAGAATGTTCTTCATAAGTTGACTCGAACAATGAATGGGATTTTACTATTGTTCACTCGATTGTCGTAGTAACTCGTATCAATGTTTAAAATATGTGAATATCTTATGATTATCCCTAATAACCTGATTATGCCATTGATAACTATGTTGAGATGAGTTTAAAGTTTATGGGCTTGAACAATTGAAAGTAAAATATATATTATCACTATGTTTTCGTTGGAATTGATTGGATATGAGGTGAATCTATGATAATGGCCTAATTATTGCCTCTTTCTCATGAATTGGAGTAAATTATGAGATGGGTCTTATGAAATGAAAACGTATGCTTCTCCTATGGTTTTGTTGTAAATGATGAGGTATGTGTTAAATGTATGGGTTGTCCATAAATCTAAATAAATGAAGAATTGTATCTATGATAAAGTATGAATTGATCCTATGGACCATGCATGACCCTATGCTACTTGTTGAATGAGATGAATTCGAAAATTGAATGTCGTGAAGTATAGCGCATAATGTGAATCTATAGAATGCTTGTTAGTGTAAAATGTTTGAAGCAAATATTGAATTGGTTCCGTGATGATGTAAATTATTATGATAAAGCACGAGAATGATATTTCAGACTGTTGAGCTTGTGTGTAAAGTAGCCCTAATCCTTTCAAAATGAATATTGTATATTGAAAACAGTGAATGTTCTTGTCTCTGATTAGCTGTAGTAATTTAAACTAGCTCTAGCCAGCTGGGACTCACATCCCTAGTCACCAGCTGAGAATGTTTCCCCTTAGTTAGTTGGGACTCACATCCCTAGTCACCAATTGAGAACGTTTCCCCTTAGTCTGTCGGGACTCACATCCCTAGTCACCATCTGAGAACGTTTCCCCTTAGTTTGTCGGGACTCACATCCCTAGTCACCAGCTGAGAACATTCCCCTTAGTCTGTCGGGACTCATATCCCTAGTTACCAGCTGAGCATGTTGCCCTTAGTCCGTCGGGACTCACATCCCTAGTAAGCCAGTGACTCTCTATATCAGAG